TGCCCTCATATGACAGTATGTGATACTTTTTGAAGTACATGCACCAAACTATGAGCCCCTGAAAGGTAAGAATTGCTCTATTCCTTTCTATAGTTTTAGTGTTTTGCGCAATACCTGGGACAAAACACAAGGTCTATTCATATTTGAGCTAGTGAATGAATGACAAACAGATAACAGGAAAACTGATCCAAAGTCATTTCAAATAAGATACATGATTCCTAGCTACAAAAGGAAGACTGATGATCTAGATGCACTAACTAAAATAATAAATGGGGTGGGTTTATGCTAAACTAAATACCATGAACAACCAGAAACCAGAGGCTTCAGGAATTCTCTTTCCAAGCAAATTGCTGCAGTAGTCACTGGAGTCTGGGCCTCCTCACCATCTCTGCAAGTGGAAGATGGTCTTTCATTGAAGGACACAGCTGGGAATGGGAAGACCATGTTTGGGCCTCTGGCTCCAAACATGTCGTGGTATGGGGAGGCAGAAGAGAAACAGTAAAATCCTCTTTATAGCCAGCTGTAGGAGTCACAGAAACGCTCCTAAATACTTCTTAAATGGACAAGGAGTAGAATTTTTAAGAAGGCCAGGCATGGTGGCTCACACCTGTAATACCAGCACTTTGGGAGGCTGAGGCAAGAGGAATGCTTGAAACCATGAGTTTGAGACAAAGATGGGCAACACAGTGAGGCTCTGTCTCTACAAAAAATTTTAAAAATTAGCCAGGCATGGTGGTACATGTCTGTATTCCTAGCTACTCAGGAGGCTGAGGTAAGAGGATGGATCGCTTGAGCCCAGGAGGTAGAAGCTGCAGTGAGCCATGATCATGCCATTGCACTCCAGCCTGGGTGACAGAGCAAGACACTATCTCAAAAAAAAAAAATTATTTATGAAATCCTAGGAAATATTTCTTTAGCAGAACTATCTCCCCTATGCTTTCTAAAATCCCACCAGTGAAAGTATTTTACTTGTTTTGGTTAATGGTCCCTTCCAGTTCTAATGGACAATAACAATTAGTGTCAATGAATGCTAACCTCTTCTCCCGCTCCCATGATCACATTATTTAAGAGGTTTGCTAACCAATATCTACAATGTTTAAAGTCCCAGTTCCTATTGCTAAGTGTAGCAGACTTTCCATCGTATCATGCATCAGATATACTTGCCCTAATATTTAGGTCGGGGATTGCATACTCAAGGGTTCAGTGTCAGGTAATATATATGTAATGTAAGGTAATGTTATATAATATCATTGACAGGCAATGTAAATCAGTGTATCTATGACTTGTTTAAAACAATAGGGAATCTCAGAGACTATGTCAAATGCAGAGCATGTGACCTGCCTGTGGGGCAGCCACTATTTAGTTCCAGTATATTTTTCCTATACAAAAATGTGAACCTTTGGGTACAATGTACACTATTTGGGTGACAAGTATACTACAAGCTCAGACAAACTTCACCATTATACAATTCATCCATGTAACCAAAAACCACTTGGGTACCCCTAAAGCTATTGAAATAAAAATAAATAACTTATTTTAAAAAGTGAAGCCAGATTTTGCCCAGATTTTCCAATTTTTCAAGAGAGGATGCAAATCCATATTTTTTTTTTTGCAAATCCATATTTTAATGTAAAATGTACCAATTTTTAAATATATTTGTGGCTAGAAGTGTCTTTTTTTTTGACACAGCACCTCACTTAGGTTGGAGTGCAGTGGTACGAGCACAGTATACTACAGCCTCAGCCTCCTGAGCTCATGCGATCCTGCCACCTCCCAGGTCACTGGGACTACAGGCATGCACCACCACATCTGGCTAATTTTTAAATTTTTTGTAGAGATGGGGGTTCTCACTATGTTGCCAGGGCTGGTCTCAAACTCCTGGGCTCAAGGGATCCTCTTGCCTCAGCTCTCAAAGTGCTGGGATTACAGGCATGAGCAACCAGGCCCAGCCCCAAAAGTCTCTTTCTGGTTTTTATTTTTTGATTCTTTTTTTTTTTCATTTATTTTCACACTTGGTGATCAGGGATAAGTGTCTTTTTGATTGTCAATTTGTGACCTTAGTCTAAATGAATAGACAACACTGAGAAAATGGAAAGGGTCAAAGAGGAGGCCTATTTGGGCCAGAAAGCATGAAGCAGAGTCAAAGGGGAATAAAAGACAGGGAATAAGCACGGGATGGGAGGTGAGAAATGAATTTCACCAACCTCAAAACCTCACATAGGAGCCCCAATCTGCTTGTCTTCTAATCTGAGAGTAAAAAGGAAGAGATGTCAAGAAGGAAATAAAGGAAGAAGAAAACGAATCACCTGTTGAATGCTTACTGGATGGCAGACACTGCATGGGCTGCTTTCACGTGTTGTTTTATGGAGATATGTCAATGCAAAAAGAAAGAGTTCTATGCATGAGAAAAAGAATAAAAGAAAATACATCAAAATCCTAACAGTAAGGGTGTCAGATTATAAGAGCTCCTTTCTCCATTCTCCATAATTTTAAGCCATAAATATAATATGGTATATTCACATTATAAGACAAACTACACTGAAATTTAAGGTGGGTTTCATTTAAAATGGAAATTTAGGATGGTGCAAACTCATCCACCCTAGAGTATAGAAAGTAAACTACTATAAGCCAAACTATACACTGAATATTTAAACAGAAAAAGAAAATGTAGCCATTTCAAGTGTATGTGATATATAACTATGCAATTATCAACCCAGAAAGAGAACATGAAAGAAACTACACAGGTGATATGGACCACAGTTAATTAAACAAGAACAGAAATATGTGAAATTGTTAAGAATGTTATAAATCATTTTTTCTTCAATTTATAAACTACCAATATGTTCTGTGTGTGTGGCCTAAATAACTATAAATATACTAAAAGTCCTCTCTTCTATAAAAACGTTTAGACTTTTACCTATCTGTTACATACTTTTACACACTCACTGCATTTTCTTTCGTATAGGTGTGTACAACTCTCATATTTAAATAATCTCCTTTTTTCTGTCTTTTGTCTTTTAGGGTTTTTCAAAGATAACAGGTTTTTTTTTTTTTTTTTTAATAAATGAGTATGTCATTATAGGCCGCTCAGATTCTAAGCAATCTAAATCCCCAATTAATCTCTTCCAAATATGCATATTTAGTGTTCATTCTGCTCAAAAATGAAACCCTAACCTAAATACTTCAAGTGAAGTTTCAGGGGAAAAATACTGTTCAAAAACCTAGATAATGCATTCCTTTGTTGATGCTAAATATAGTCATCTCAAGATGACATACATTTTGACAATGATCAGTCTTACATGTCAAGTTTTCAAAAATAGCACAAATTCCATTTTAAGGTGAGCAGGAAAAATTGCTATTCATTACATTTCAATTCAAAATGGATTTTAAAGTGTGAATCTTCTATTAAAACTGGATTACACTGTAACTATAATGAGGAAAACTGGATTTAAAAGAATTTTGTTGTGGTTTTAGCTTAGAACTCTTTAAGGGAATTGTTGCAAATAAACTACATAATTTCATGCATTTTTCTTTAAATTGCTCCCCGGAAGCATTAGTAAAAATATAAAATATCTGCAAAAATACGGTGCTCATAGCTGTAAGGAAGAAGAAAATTAAACAGCTACATTGGTTAATCAAAGTTTACTTACACGAATTTACCTCTCCCAAAAAAACCTTTTTCTCATTTGATTATGCATTTTTTCTTAACATTACCCCAAACCCAAAAGAATTCCAGACAAGGTTTTCTTACTGCAGCAATTTAATCTGTAAAAGGATAACATTAGCTGGGGAAATTGTGTGGTCCACTCAATAACGTGTGACTAAGATGGTACAAATACTTGAGTTTATTTAATCACATTACCTAAGACATAGTTATGTTGTGACTCGCAGGCCAATGGACCGCTGCTACATGATTTCATTAACAAAATTCAACGATAAATGATGTTCCCGTTTCTTTGGTCAGGGAACTAATTTCTTCATTACGGCTTCTTTCTCTACCTGTCTCTTTACCAAGGACATTTTGTTAGGACACATCTTCATGCTATTTTTACCTTGTTATCCCTCTGCCAACTTTGTTCACGTTGTGGCCTTTAATAACCATAAAATGAATATCTCTAAGTCATTGCCGTAACCAACTATAACCTCTCAACTTCGTCATTTTATGCATAAATGTCAATGCTAATACATTTGTAGAACGTTTTACAGTTTACAATAGTTGGAATGGTCTAGGGGAGTTTTCAAGAGGTGACTACATTCTTCACTCACGCAAACTACGTAAACTTCGCAAACTTCCAGCTCTAGCTGCTCAACCCCCAGCATCCCACCTCGGGCAGAATCACGAAAAAAACCGTCTGGAGACACGAGGGCAGGGATATGAGGGGGTGGGGGGGTAGTAGGCTGTTAAATCATATTTCTCCCCATCTTCCATAGGGACCGATCAGAAAGGATTCTTTTTTTTTTTTTTTTTTTTTTGATTGACCACTGGTGATCAACAGAAAGGATTTCTTAACTGGCTCTGCTGCAGAGACAGAGATCGCAGCGGGGGCACGTGGCGGGGGGGGGGGACGGCACTAAACTTGCCCCATTAGGACCCCAAGGGTTCAGTCGAGGGACTGGCACCCACTCCGCTCACAGAGGGCACGGAGGGCTCCCTCCCTACAGTGGAGAACGCACCCGAAACTCAGCTGTCAGGGCGCAGGGAGCAGAGCAAGGGCTTTGCAACCAGAAGCCGGAGGCCGGCTGCTTTCAGACACCGGGGCAGCCCCCGGTCGGCACCCCGCCGAGCCCGCAGGACGCGGCTCGCTGCGGACTGGGCCAGCGCGGAGCCACAGCTGGATGGCCCCCGGCGCGCTCCTGGACTGCAGCGGAGCACTGCCAGAAGCCGCGGACCCCGAGAGCCTCTCGGCAGCCGCCGCTCCCGCCCCCGCCCTCGCCCCAGCCAGGGGACCCGACACCTCCGTCTCCACTCCCCCATCCCACGTTCCCCCAACTCTTCTCACCCTGCAGGAGCCAGTGACTGGCGAAGGTCCTCCTTTCGCTCGGAGAGACAGTGCGCGTCCTGCCTGGCAGTGGGTAGGGTTCTGGGAGCTCTGGCCGCTAACACTTCTGCTCCAGCCGCTGGGAGACCTCTGGCCGCCGCCGCCGTCTCCAGCAGCAAGTTTCCATAAAAGTCCTGGTGCGCAGCCTGCTCCCGCATTCCAGGCGGGCCCAGCGCCGGCTGCAGCTGTTCCAAAACACAAGGCCAGTTCCCCCAACCCCCCACCTCCGTCGTATCACCCGGAGCGGGGTGGAGAGTCGTGGAGAAAAGCAGGGGAGGGGGACCGTGGCTGCCAACTTTCCGCCAAAATGTGACTGTCTCCCGGCCCTAGGTGAGCAAGCTGACCCCTTAACCTTGGGCCCGCCTCCACCTCCAGCCAGGCCCGGGGAAGGAAGGCTGCCCCCGCCGTGGGAAAGGAATGAGGCTGAAATGGGCTTCATTACCCGGGTGGAGCTGGCTCCCCCTACCCGAAACCCATTTGCTCTGGGGCCCACTTCTCTTAAATACTCTAGCCGTCCTAGTTTCCAGTCAAGAAGCCAAGCCACTACATTATCTTCTACTACCATAAGCATTGACCTTTGGCCAAGTTTTCCTTTATTACCAAGAGCTTGGGACAGCAATCCGGGAACACTTCATCTATTTGTTGCTTTCCTTTTCTTAGCTCCAGTCTTTAAAGGGAGAGTTGAAAAAGAAAGGAAAAAGAGAAAGAAGAAGGCAGAGGAGAAGAAAAAAAGGAATTTTTTTTTTATAAGTACAAATATATTTATATTCCACATTTTTCTTAATTGAAGGCAAACCATGTCTGGTCTTCCTAAAGTTTCATAAGGGCATCTTTGAATATTAGGCACCCACAGATCTTTTTCAACTTGGACCGCCAGCCTGTCAAACCCATCAGACAACATATTAAAACCAAAAATGCACACTCAGAGGGAGCATTTTTGGTGGAGGAGATCTTTAATTCTTCAGTGAACTTGAAAGAAAATATCTAAATGACATCCAGATAAACAAGGGATAAAGGTAACCACATCCAACTTCAGGCCCTGAGCAGAGAGCAGTGCTCAGGTTATATTTTAGGGATGCTGAAAAGGCCTTCTGGGCCAGGCGTGGTGGTTTATGGCTGTAAACCCAGCACTTTGGGAGGCCGAGGCGGGTGGATCATGTGAGGTCGAGTTCAACACCAGCCTGGCCAACATAGCGAGAGCCAGTCTCTACTAAAAATACAAAAAATTAGCTGGCTGTGGTGGCACGTGCCTGTAATCTCAGTTACTGGGGAGGCTGAGGCAGGAGAATCGCTTGAACCTAGGAGGCAGAGGTTGCAGTGAGCCGAGATCACACCACTGCACTCTAGTCTGGGTGACAGAGTGAGACTGTCTCAAAAAAACAAAAAGAAAGTCTAGGCGCAGTGGCTGACCCCTGAAATCCCAGCACTTTGGGAGGCAGAAGCGGGTGGATCACCTGAGGTCAAGAGTTTGCAACCAGCCTGGCCAACATGATGAAACCCTGTCTCTACTTAAAATAGAAACAATTAGCCAGCTGTGGTGGTGGGTGCCTGCAATCCCAGCTACTTGGGAGGCTTAGGCAGGAGAATTGCTTGAACAGAGACCAGGGAGGCAGAGGTTGCAGTGAGTTGAGATCGTGCCATTGCACTCCAGCCTGGGTAACAAAAGCAAAACTCCGTCTCAAAAAAAAAAAAAAGCCTTCTGCTCTTAAAACATAACTCTGTTCCCTAGTCCCATCCCCACACTATTTACTCAGGATGGAAACTCCTTTAAGGAGGTAAACCATTCATTCCTCAATTATAGAAAAGTTCAAAACTGGCAATTCAAATGATTTAAATGTACCAAAATACAGACACTGATAAGTGGTCTTGGTAGTCTTGCTTGTGCCGTGTTCTCTTTGATGCCATCACCTTGGCCTTCTTCAGTTCATGAAACTTTCTATGGGCATTCTGGCTGCAGGGCCTTTACATAAGCTGTTCCCTGCATGAAATCATTTCTCCCACTTTCCCCTTCACCTAATTTCAACATATCCTCTACATCTCTTCTTAAATGCTGCTTCCTCAGAGAAGGCTTCCTTGCATCCCACCTTTCTTCCTACCTTGCACCTCACCTTTCATCCCACCTTTCTCCTCCCTATAAATATCTATTTATTTATTTGGAGACGGAATCTCGCTCTGTCGCCCAGGCTGGAGTGCAGTGGTGTGATCTCACTTCACTACAGCCTTCGCCTCCCAGGTTTGAGCGATTCTTCTGCCTCAGTCTCCTGAGTAGCTGGGATTACAGGCATGCACCACCACACCTGGCTAATTTTTGTATTTGACAAGGTTTCACCATGTTGGTCAGGCTGGTTTCGAACTCCTGACTTCACGTGATGTTCCACCTTGGCATTGCAAAGTGCCGGGATTACAATTGTGAGCCACCATGTCCGGCTCCTGTACATATCAATTTATAGTTACATATTTATTTCTGTGATTTAAAGAAGTGAGTTGGCTGGGCACAGTGGCTCACACCTATAATCCCAGCAGAAAATAATAATACATAAATAAATAAATGAGTAGACGCTTTTTAATTTATTTTTTATATCCACCCACCAGATTCACCAGGTTAAACAAAGCTCTCCATTCTCTCTGTAGAACACTGATAGCTACTCACAGCATGCAAGGCCTGCTTATTTTCCCACCAATTCATCATTCAGTCATTTAACAGATACTCAGTTCTAGATGCTGAGGACACAGCAGTGACAAAAGAAAAATCCCTGCCATTGTGGAATATACATTCTTGTGAAAGAAGGCAGACAATAAGCAAATAAACGAACTATGTAGTACCTAGTGACATGCAATATGGCAATATGGATAAAACCAGAGCAGGAAAGTAGAGAAAGCTGGAGCAGGCTGAGTGGCTGCTGTAATACTAAAGAGTGGCTAAGGAAAGCCTTATATGAGTAAAGCTTGAGGAAAGTGAGGAGGAGCCTATGTAAATATGTAGAGATGCAAATATTTGGAGGAAGAGTGGTCCAGGGATAGATACAAAGGCCCAGAGAAGGATTTTATCTGACATGTTCTAGGAAGAATCAGGAGGCTTGTGTGGATGAAGCTGAGTAAGTGAGGGGTGAAGTAATAGAAGGTGCCCTGAAGAGCAGGAGACAGACCGTGTAGGATTTTTTTTTTTTTTGAGATGAAGTCTCGCTCTGTCACCCAGACTGGAGTGCAGTGGTGCGATCTCAGCTCACTGCAACCTCTGCCTCCCAGGTTAAACAATTCTCCTGCCTGAGCGTCCTGAGTAGCTGGGATTACAGGTGCCCACTACCATGCCCAGCTAATGTTTGTATTTTTAGTGGAGATGGAGTTTTACCATATTGGCCAGGTTGGTCTTGAACTCCTGACATCAGGTGATCTGCCAACCTCAGCCTCCCAAAGTGTTAAGATTACAGGCATGAGACACCATGCCTGGCCTTTTTATTTGTTTTTAAGAGACCCAGGCTGGAGTGTAGTGATGCAATCACAGCTTACTGCAGCCTCTAACTTCTGGTCTCAAGCGATCCTCCTGCCTCAGCTTCTCTGAGTAGCTGGGAATACAAGCATGCACCAACACACCTGGCTAGTTTTTTACTTTTTATAGAAATGGGGTCTTATTATGTTGCCTAGGCTGGTCTCAAACTCCTGGGCTCAGGCATCCTCCCACCTCTGCCTCCCAAAGAGTAGGGATTACAGGCATGAGCCACTGTGCCCAGCCTCTTTTTTGGACAGCATTGCAAAAATTTTGGCTTTTACTCTAACATGAGTGGCCTTTGGTAGGTTTTGAACAAAGTAGTGACATAATCTGACATGTTTACTCTAGCTTATGTGCTGCATATACACTAAATGAGGCAAGAGAAGAAGCAGGGAGATGAAATTAGGGGTCTTTCACAATGATCAGAATGAGGAATGGGGATTTGGGCAAAGGTGATAGCTGTCAAGGTACTGGTAGTGAGAAATGCCTAGCAGATTTTTTTTCCTTGGTGACTTTTTAGGTAGAACTGGTAGGATTTTGGTAACTGAATGTGAAGTGTGAGGAAATGTGGTTTTTGGCCTTTGATCTGGAAAAATGGAGTTGTAATTTACTCAGTTTAGGGAAGATTGTGGGAAGAGGAGGTTTAGGCAGGGGTGGTAAGGAGCTCAGTTTTGACATGCTAAGTTTGAGAATATAAAAATCCAAGATTTGCCAATTTGTATAAGCACTGCTTGTATACTTATTACAAATAATTGGGTTTATTCTATACCAGCTCCATGGTTTTGAAATTATACAAAGTAAACATTTTAAAGATGAAATTATAGGCCAGGTGCAGTGGCTCACACCTATAATCCCAGCACTTTGGGAGGCCAAGGTGGACATATCACCTGAGGTCAGGAGTTCGAGACCAGCCTGGCCATCATGGCAAAACCCCGTCTCTACTAAAAATGCAAAAATTAGCTGGGCATGGTGGCACACACCTGTAATCTCAGCTACTCAGGAAGCTGAGGCAGGAGAATTGTTTGAACCTGGGAGGCTGAGGCTGCAGTGAGCTGAGATTATGCCATTGCATTCCAGCCTGGGTAACAGACTGAGACTCGGTTTCAAAAAAAAAAAAAAAAATTCTAAAAGCAAAAATAAAGTTATAGTTTTTAAAAAGCTGAGTTGAATGCTTTGAAAAGACCTGATAAAGGCAGATAGCTTACAAAAATTACCACCAACCTAGGTGTGGAGAAGACAAATGTAAAAGATTGAGTACAAAATTATACAAATCTAGGGAGATTCCGCAGTCGATGTTTTTCATGTACCTTTTCTCTCCTTTAAAAATAAGGAAAACTTGAAATTCCAGATGATGATTTAGTGCATGGGTCGTCAAAGCCCAGGTCGCACAGCAGGAGGTGAAGGCAGGCCAGTGAGTGAGCTGCTCAGAACACCTGAGCTCTGCCTCTTGTCAGATAAGCGATGGCATTAGATTTTCACAGGAGTGCAGCCTCATGTGGTGGCTCACGCCTGTAATCCCAGCACTTTGGGAGGCTGAGTTGAGTGGATCACGGTAATCCCAACTACTGAGGAGGCTGAGGCAGGAGAATGGCTTGAACCCGGGAAGTGGAGGTTGCGGTGAGCCGAGATTACAGTGAGCCAAGATCGCACCACTACACTCCAGCCTGGGCAACAAGAGCGAAACTCCATCTCAAAAAATAAAAATAAAAAAGATTCTCATAGGAGGGCAAGCCCTATTATGAACTGTTCATGTGAGGAATCTGGTTGCGCACTCCTTATGAGAATCTAAGACTCTAATGCCTGATGATCTGTGGTGGCCCAGTTTCATCCGAAAACTATCCCCACACCCATTCCCCCCACCATCCATGGAAAAACTGTCTTCCCTAAAACTGTCCCCTGGTGCCAAAAAGGTTCAGGACTGGTGACTTAGGGGTTTTATTTTATGTTACAAAGATAACTTGATATACCAAGTGAATCCATACTCCCAACTAAAGGCCTTGATACTATATCAAAAGATAGGCCAAAGAAAGTACATTCATTCATTTAAAATTAAAATGTCAATGAGGTGCATTGGCTCCAGTCTGCAATCCCAAAACTTTGGGAGGCTGAGGTGGGAGGATCCCTTGAGGACAGGAGTTCAAGACCAGCCTGGGAAACGTAGCAAGACCTCATCTCTACTAAACAATAAAAGTAAGCCAGGTGTGGTGGCACATGCTTGTAGCCCCAGCTATTCAAGAGGCTGAGGCAGGAGAATCACTTGAGCCTAGGAATTAGAGGTTGCAGTGAGCACCACTGCATTCCAGCTTGGGTGAGAGAGAAATAGAAATCTTGTCTCAAAAAAAAAGTTGTCTACATCATTATGTATGTATAATTTATGATTCCCTGCCATGGTATCCAGCCACCAAGACAACCCCAAATGTTCCCATTTCCACCTCCTGTTACTTACATCCTGTGTAATCCCCTCCCACGTTGTGTCAGCGTTGGTCTGTTTTACCAGTGGCAGAAGTGGTAACATTTCCACATATAGGTTATAAAAGACATCTTTTACCTTGCTATTTCTTGGATTATTTATCCCAGCGGAAGCCAGCTGCCATGTTTGGTTTTTTTTCATAGAGACAGGGTCTTATTATGTTGCCCAGGCTGTTCTCACACTTCTGGGGTCCAGCATTTCTCCTGCCTCAGCCTTCCAAAGTGCCATGATTACAGGTATGACCCACCATGCTTGGCCAGCTGCTATGTCTTAAAAGACACTCAGGTAGCCCTATTGAGAGGTCTAGTTGATAGGAACTAAAGTCTCTTGCCAATGGCCAGCAAGGGACTAAGGCTTCCTGACAACAGAAATGTGAATGAGAAAATCTTAGAAGCAAATCTTCCAGCCCCACTCAGGCCTTCAGATGACTGCAACTTAGAGAGAGAACCACCAGACTAACCATTCCTGAATTACCAGCCCTCACAAACTGCATAAGGTCATGTTTGTTCTTTTGAGCTGCTAAAATTTTGGTATAATTTATTTTAACAGACTGTGAATATAACTGCTTTAACATTTATTATCCATCTTCATCTTCTACCACATTATTTTGTTGGTCCTTTGTAAAATTCCTGGGACAATTCTCACACTGAGTTATTATTAAATAAGAATTAGCAAAGTTCTGAAAGTCATATATTTCAAGTACTTTCTAATTCAAAGTGCTTCTCTATATTCAGGTACCATGGTATCATTTCAAACATAGCAAATTATAAAAGTTCTGTAATTTCCTATATATAAATGTACTTTGTGAAAGGCTTCTGTGACCCACATAAAAGACATATTTGATGTACCAGTTGCTTTGCTGTGGCTTTTAAGTAAAGAATAAAAAAAGTGTCATAGAAGGAAGGCTGTTTTTCTTCTCTGTAGTAGAATACAGTCCTTCCCTGCCCAGATGATGAAGGTTACTGAAGGGTTTTCACTGTTCAGATATAGAAAAAGCCAAAGAAAGAACCTCAGCAGACAGAAGAGCTTGTGCAGCCTGATCAAAGATGTCAGTGGCATAAGAAGAGAAAGAGATCAAGGGGGAAGAAGCGGCAGGATAAAGTATCAGAGAATACAGGGCAAAGGAAGAAACACTGCAGAAAAAAACAGAAGTCAAAAGCAGCATGAGAACAGTTAGTTTAGAAAGATTAACAAAGTGAATTTATAAAGATTTCCAGCAAAGCCCTATAAGGTCTAACAATAGGACACTGAGATGTTTGCAGAGAAATATTTAAACATACATAAGAATTCAGAGAGAGATGTTTAAAGTGTAAAACATTAAGTTCAGATCGTGGGATCAAAGAAGATGCATGAGACAACAGAGTACGGCAGATAATGACAAAACAGAAAATGAGATTGAGATGCTGCGCTAGTTTCCCATTGCACTCTAACCCCATATCCTAGCTAGGGAGATTCCCTCATGTTTGTATGCTTTGATTATTAATATATTTCAGTTTATATGTTTAATAATTCTAAAAGTATAACTATACACATTTATAGCATATATAATTATTCTAGAATAAATCTATATGTTAAAAGTCCAAAACTAAGAATCTGTTTTCATATCCAGGTGACTTCCATCTGGTGACTATGGTGGTATACAGGTGGCATCCCTCTCCTTGACTAAATATATCTGAATCCTTTTTTTATTTTTGAAACCGAGTCTCACTCTATTGCCCAGGCTGGAGTGCAGTGGTGTGATCTTGGCTCACTGCAACCTCCACCTCCTGGGTTCAAGCGATTCTCTTGCCTCAGCCTCCCACGTAGCTGGGATTACAGGTGTGTGCCACCACACCTGGCTAATTTTTGTATTTTTAGTAGGGAAAGGATTTCGCCATGTTGGCCAGGCTGGTCTCAAACTCCTGACCTCAGGTGATCTGCCTGCCTCAGTCTCCCAGAGTGCTGGGATTACAGGCATGAGCCACTGCACCTGGCCATATATCTGAAACCTTTTGAAGAAGTGACGATAAGGGAGGTTCAGGTCATGTCTGAATAGGAATGAGGCATATACATCAATATAAGTTTATATCATCCTTGATGGTATAATCATCCAAACACTTTAATTAAAACCCAAGAATTTTCACTTTATTCAAACTGTCTGGTACATGGAGAAAAGATAAATTTTTTAAACTTTCTTTTTTTTTGAGACGGAGTTTCGCTCTTGTTACCCAGGCTGGAGTGCAATGGCGCGATCTCGGCTCACTGCAACCTCCGCCTCCTGGGTTCAGGCAATTCTCCTGCCTCAGTCCCCTGAGTAGCTGGGATTAAAGGCACGCACCACCATGCCCAGCTAATCTTTTGTATTTTTAGTAGAGACAGGGTTTCACCATGTTGACTAGGATGGTCTCGACCTCGTGATCCATCTGCCTCGGCCTCCCAAGGTGCTGTTATTACAGGCTTGAGCCACTGCGCCCGGCCTAACCTTTCTTTTTAGTTTTATTTATTTTTTTGAAACGGAGTTTCACTCTTGTCACCTAGGCTGGAGTGCAATGGCGCGATGTTGGCTCATTGCAACCTCCGCCTCCTGGGTTCAAGCAATTCTCCTGACTCAGCCTCCCGAGTAGCTAGGATTACAGGTGCATACCGCCACACCTGGCTAATTTTTGTATTTTAAGTAGAGACAGGATTTCGCCATGTTGGCCAGGAAAGTCTTGCTCTCCTGACCTCGTGATCTGCCTGCCTCAGTCTCAAAGAGTGCTGAAATTACAGGTGCCTGCCACCACGCCCCACTAATTTTTGGATTTTTAGTAGAGATGGTGTTTCACCACGTTGTCCAGGCTGTTCTCAAACTCCTGACCTCAGGTGATCCACCCGCCTCAACTTCCCAAAGTGCTGGGATTACAGGCATGAGCCACCACACCTGGCCTTTGATTTTTTATTTTAATGATAAAGTTTTATATTGGATCACAATGCTTCTGCAGTTGTTCTGTTCTCTACGCCTTATATATGGGTCTTATGGAGACTGAACATTCTCATATAGAGTCTGATGAAACAAGTGTGACTTCATAATTACGTATTAACATTGTTTAAAATAATCAGTACCTCAGCGAGACGTACTATCACTTCTTTATTCGGCAGTAATAGTAATACATCCATGTTACAGTGCTTATTTTGGCTAAAGAGCCAGTGCAACGTTTTTTGCTACTGTAGTGTTTTACTTTTACACAAATTAATGAGTGCAGCCCTTACATTCAGGAAACAGAAACATGTACTGATAGCAGCCAAGTGAAGCTAACACATGGTTGTTCTCAAACTCAACACAACAGTAACAATCATTAGGGACAAAGTAGGAATGCTCTTATTTCCATTAATCATAGGTTTTATATACATTTTTAAATTTCACATACGTATTTCTTAATCTGACTAAGCAAAAAAAATCTGAATTCAGCTTAATTCCTATAATCACTTTGAAATTTACATCAAATGATTTCTGAGTATATATTCACATTAAAATAAAAGTAAATGGGTTATATTAACATAAGTTCAAATTTCTCATTATGAAAAGTTACAGAAAAGTTCACTAAATGTTACTTTGGCATTCCTATTTCCTAGGCTTACAGGAATTACTAAGAATTCCTTTGCAATGCAAATAATCACTCTCTTAGAAATTAAATTTAAGTAGAAAATGTTACATTTTAAGGCAAGAAAACATTTTTATATATTTTTATAAAGTCACTTAATTCAACAAATCAACAGAATCATAGTAAATGGATGCAAATAAAGAATATTACTTTATGAGAAAAACAAAGTTCTTTGGAGCTTATTACAGTATGGAAAATTTGTCTTCTTTTTTAAAAGATAATTCCATTATGATACTTAATAAACATAATCTTAACCTTCAAGAACAAATAAGTACTTAAAAGAGTTGAACAAAAATGTAGAGAAATCAAAATACAAAAAAGAAAATTAAATGAAATACCAAATGTAAATTGCCTGAAAATTTATCTTCTTTCTTCAAAACAAAAGGCCATTTTCCCAGGACTAACTAATTGAAGGCCCTCTTATAATTTACATATGGAAGTGGATGGTGGGATGTATAGTGGCAAGGGCAATTTCCTGCTAATACTACCATGAGTCAGTGTTTAAACAGGGTTTACCCTAAAAGGCTCTAAACTAATCATTTTTAAAACATTGCTTTTGCTACTTAACCCAGTTTTAAGGCAAATGGAAACTATTACATGTCTTTTTTTTTTTTTTTTTTTGAAATGGAGTTTTGCTCTTGGTGCCCAGGCTAGATAGAGTGCCTTGGTGCAATCTTGGCTCACTGCAACCTCCACCTCCCAGGTTCAACGATTCTCCTGCCTCAGCCTCCTGAGTAGCTGGGATTACAGGCACATGCCATCATGCCCAGCTAATTTTGTATTTTTAGTAGAGATGGGGTTTCTCCATGTTGGTCAAGCTGGCCTCGAACTCTCGGCCTCAGGTCATTGGCCCTTCTAGGCCTCCCAAAGTGCTGAGATTACAGGTGTGAGCCACTGCACCTGGCCTGTTATCTGTCTTAAGCACCCTTCTGCATGCAGTCAGAAATGTTCTTTTCAAGACGACATTTCCTTTAAAAAGTTCAAGTTTCTTCTCTCACAATAGAGAGGTTTTTCCTATACTTATTATCCTGAAATTCTATTTGGTCACTCTTATCTGTTTTGTGAAAGGCCACAACAAAGAAAGCATCTTGCTAAAGTAGCAGATACTGAACGGACCGGAAACAAACTCAAGCACTGAATTTGACAAACCAACCTCCTGAATATAAGCAACTTTTCAAAGATGAAATGTAAAAGAGAAAAACAAACATACAACAAACAAAAAACAACACTGTCTAGAAAGCCATTCAACTTATCTCATAAAATTAATTCCCCAGAGTTATCCCACATAGTAGCAGCATTATCAAATAGTGCAATTCTTCAAAACTGATTTCAAATAATGTCTTTCTAAAATAAAAAAGTAATTCTGCTTACTTACAGCTTTTCTTATAAAACCACAGCTTAAAACACTTAGCCCTCAAATGGGTAAATTAACATAGGCAATAACTGCCTTGTCTACATGGTAAGGAAATGCATGTGCACGCACACATATGTCTGTGTATCACTGAAGACCAGAGGTACTGCAGCAAGGTAAAAACACGGAATGTTAAAAGAAAAAGTAAACAGTAAATAATGGAATTTTTAGTTTTGGTACTTCTCATCGTATTCTCATCAATAATAAGAGTTATAAATAGGGAATTGTTAAACATCTATGTAAGAAAAGTCTAGGAGCTATATACTACAGAACAGTGATAATTTGTATTTTAATGCTAAATAACCTACAAAGTACATGCAAAACAGCATGATTCAGAATATTTTAGTTAATTTACATAAATATGGCACATACAGAAATTAAAAATCTTAAAAGATTACGCTCTCCTCCCATACTTTTCATCTTCTATTTATTAATCAGAAACTAGGCACTTTAATCTAAAAATTCACTTTTTAAAAATGCATTTTAGCAGTCGAGAGATAGTGACACATGCCTCTGGTGTGAGGAGCTGGAGACTGAGGTGAGCTGTGATAGCGCACTGCACTGCAGCCTGGGCAACAGAGCGAGACCCCGTCTCTCAGAAGAAGAAACAAAACAATGCATTTTAGGTTCTTTTGTGCAGTTCACTCCTAAAATAAATAAGCCCATTTTAGGAGCAAACAAACAAATCTACTCTACTTACATACTGAGTTAGCCACTCCAAATAAGTGGATATTATTCAGAAAAAAAATTAATACAACTCTGAATATATTAATATATTCTTATAGAAGAACCTCACTCATAAAAACAACTCATTTGTTTATAGATTTATCATAGTGAACATAAAATATATACTTCCACATCATTACAAATATTTTTGTTTTACATTCAAGGGAGGAAACAAACCCTTCTTTAAAGTGTCAGTAATATTCAAAGTGTGAATATTTTAAAAATATGGGCATAATATGACAAATTCCCACTGTGCTGAGTTTTCTGTGGGAATAACTAACTAAAAAGCAGTTTTGGAGGAGAAAGGGGAAATTATTTTCTCTACCAAGTTTTATACCTTCAGATGTTGACAGTCTCCAAATAATATTAAATTTTAAATTACCTTTATTAATTAATAAATGTTATCTTTTTAATCAATATTCCAGGGGAAAAATGCTCTAATATATAAAAAGAAAGTTCTTCAGTCTCTTTGTAACTTACAGGACCAACAGTAACATATTTTGGAAACTACAGTTAATATAATATAAATTTGTAAACTGTAGATTTCTCAATGTCAATTCATTTAAATGTTTTATTTTATTTATTCACTTTTGAAATAGGGTCTTACTCTGTTGCCCAGGCTGGAGTGCAGTGGTGCAATCAGGGCTCACAACAGCCTTGACCTTCTGGACTCAAGTTATCCTCCCACCTCAGCCTCCCAAGTAGCTGGGGCCACAGGCACAAGCCACCATATCCAACTAATTAATTTAATTTATTTATTTTTTGAGACAGACTCTCACTTTGTTGCCCAAGCTGGAGTACTGTGGTGCGATCTTGGCTCTCTGCAACCTCCACCTTATTGGTACAAGCAATTCTCCTCTCTCAGCCTTCCTAGTCACTGGGACTATAGGCACATGCCACCATGCCTAGCTAATGTTTGTATTTTTAGTACAGATGGTATTTCACCATATTGGTGAGGCTGGACTCAAAAATCGTGACCTCAGGTGATCCGCCTGCCTTAGCCTCCCAAAATGCTGAGATTACAGGCATGAACTACCATGCCTGGCCTATTTTTATTTTTAAAAAAATTTTTTAATATTTCCATGGAACTCTGCTTGATACCAACTAATTTATTTTTATATTTTTGTGGAGATGGGGAGGGGGTTCTCCTTATGCTGTCCATGCTAGTTTAAACCACCTGGCCTCAAACTATCCTTCTGCCTCAGCCTCCCGAAGTGTCACGGGCATGAGCTACCACAAGTGGTCCATTTAAATGTTCTATAACAATATTCAGTGATTACAATTTCTTTGATTCAAATACGTAAGCAAATACACAAGCAATATTGTATGCAGTACATATTAAACAGCATTACTGCCTAAACTTGATTCAACAAATGAATAACTTTATAATTAAAAATACGTTTCTATGCAAAGTTAAATATATTGACACTAGGAGTAGTATATTCTTGCATGTGTGGGCCACAAAGATCTTGGCTAACGTGTATATTTTCAAGGTGCAAAGCAGAAAAACAGCTTTTGAGAATGACAGCTTCAAGACGACAAACCAATTAACTCCCAAATATTGGCTTCAATTCAAGCAGTATTTCTGTAAAATACACATTTCATGACTTTGATTATTACTTAATGAGTGTAAAAAGCCACTTTGACTATACTACACAGGAATTCAACGACAGAACTGCTGTATAAATATAGTACAGTTGCTCGTTTTTTACTAGATTTTTATTCCTCCCTGAATCCACATGCACCATTTCTGCTGATTTTGTATGTATGTTACAAAATCAATAGTTACCTTAAAATACTTTATAGCACACTCAAACTGTATGATCCTCATGGTACTTATTGTACTTTGGCTTCCAGTAGCCCAGTAGGCATAACATGACCATGACCACTTAGACAACTACTCATATGCCTCAGGGCATCTGCTTCAAGATAGGCCATTAAAAGCTCAGTGCGGCGAATGAGTAACTGCTTGAGGTCTTCAGCCAAAGTCTCTGCACTTGAATAACGTACCTTTTCAAAGTCAAAAATGTCTTTGAGAAATAAAAGAACTTGATTCTGGAAAATGGACATAAAACAAATTGGCATTTATTAGACCAAAATCATGTTACATTGAAAAAGCTTCTAATATTATAATGAGTATTGAATCAGGAATCAGTAAGACCTGACTTCCAGTGCTAGCTTTGTATTTCATTAGAAAAGGAAACTTGCACAGTGATTTAACCTTTCCTTTTTGGGGCTCACTTTTTTTTTTCTGTGAAATAAGGGATAACACCGTCCATCCTACTGACTACTCAGGGATGACATGATGATCAAAAAGACAATGTATATGATAGCATGAAGAGGTGGGGAAACATTTTAAGAAAGATAGTTTATAAGAAGCACCTGTAAACTCCAAAGCACTGTTTAAATGTAAGGAGTTATAGTCCTTTCCCTTCAATGTGACCTTTGAGCACTGCTTCTACTCTAAGACAGAAGAATAAACTATTTCCAATAATAGTTTTGAATAAATAATAAAATAATACATTATAATTTTAAATGTGTACTTTTTGTGTACAAAAAAAAAAACCCTCAAGGCACATGAGAGATAAAGAACATTTTGGGTCTCAAATCAGTGGTAGATCCTGAAGGATATTTCATTTTAGTAAGTTATTATATACATGGAAACTCACTGTAAGCAAACTGTATACTACTAAGTCTCAGCTGTCATGTCACCACAATGGAAAAAAATTTCAAAGAGTAAAAAACAGGAATATCTAATTTCTATCTTCCAGAAATGAAATGTTATTAAGTACTAAGAAGACACACTTCACTGATTCATTAAATTTTATATCTGAAAGGGTCATTAGCAATCAACCTGTTAGGCCCCCTCATTTTATAAATAAAAAAAGGAATATCAAAGAATGATTTGCCACAAGTCAGAATGTTCACTGATGAGAGACTTAATTCCCAACCCCATACAACACTACCTTGCATTGGGTGGTAAACTACAAAAATCAATGTGTTCGGAATGACAGTAAAATAAACATTTTCTAAACCATTGATACAAGTATTACCTTGACAGTACATAAACATACTTTCAAAAAATGAATGGTAAAGTAAAACATCCAAACTTTCAAATTCATACTCGATTAGGTTTAACTTTTATTTGCTCCTTGAAATACAGCCTAAACTCAAGACTATTACACAGAGAGACTTTCTTTGTCACTTTGCCGGCCAGAAAATTCTACAAGGAGCTACAACTTGTATTTTGGCAAACTAAAACTCCTGTCATTGGGATATAACGTTAAACTCCCATGTTACTTCTCACAGTTTGGATTTTATCATTCTTCTCACCTTTAACCACAACTTATTCTATATTACCATATGTCTATAAAGGTGGATATTGTTTGTAAGTTTCAAAAGTGCCCAGGCATGAAGAACCAACTATCTGCATCACTTTGACTGTCACAGGGCTACACCATGCAAGACCATGTATCCCTTGCATTGGGGAATTGGTAAGGTGAACGGATTTGCTGAGTCTATTCCAGAATAAAGTACCAAATCTATAAAATACTGGTCCACTATAATAATGAAGGTATTATAAAATGCCAAAAATATTTAATACTGGCATTTAAATGCTGAATTTAGGTGACTTTTGTAACTTTACTCTTAAATAATATTTGTTCTTCTACAAAAGCAAAACAAAACAGAATAAAACCTTATCTCCTTTTTGATTTAGAAAATAAAAGGAAATGATTCAATGACTTAACATACCTTAAAAAAGCAACATAAATCATAGAGAGAATTTCTAGGACCCAAAAAGCCCCAGGCTAGGACAGGGCTGATGTGTTCACAAATGGCATAAAAATGGGCAAAAAATCCATCTGGGATCTGTTGGAAAGTAAAAGAGAATCAGGTTATTTCTACCTTCTTGTATTTGCCTTCTCCAGTACAGAAACTGAAGTTGCTATTTATTATATGACCTGTTGGAGTTTAAGAAAAAAATGTTTTAGAACCATAGTCTAGCAACACCTCAAACTCCTGGCCTCAAGCAATCCCCCTGCTTCAGCTTCCTGAGCAGTGGGGACTACAGGCATGCACTACAGTGCAAGGCTCATGACTAGCTCTTTTTGAGGGCAAACCAAGAGTCAATCATGAGCCACACACTATTAAGAAAGTTAATAAGGTTACAAGTAACCTTTAGAGTCACAGAACATTTGGGACTCCATGTTTAGATCCCCTTCCATGAACACTCTTGTGGAAGCTGGTTTTCTCTATCTTGGATTTTCCCTCTGGAGTCCCCTTCCACACTCTCTCGTGGAAGCCTGCTTTCCCCTCCTAAACTTCATCTCTCTCTATTCCATTCCACTCAATGTGGAAGCTGCTTTCCTCTCTTGGATTCCATCTTTCTAGATCCTCTCACTCAGTGTGAGAGTTAGCTGTTTCTTTCTCTCTCCTCCTGGTTCTCTCTCTCTAAATAAATAAATCACTTCTACAAAAACTATAAAATTATAAAACAAATAAAAATTAAAAAATAGAGTCATAGAACATTTTATGTAGATTTCATATCCTAGCCAATAGTTTCAGATGTGCTGAGACACATTTCTTTATTTGTTGTTTGTTTTGAGACAGGATCCTGTCGCCCAGGCTGAAGTGCACTGGTGCAGTCATGGCTCACTGCAGCCTCAACTTCCCAAGCTTAAGCAATCCTCCCACCTCAAAATCCCAAGTAGCTATAACCATAGGTGCACACTACCCCTCCTGGCTAATTTTTTCTATATTTAGTAGAGACAGATCTCACTATGTTGCTTAGGCTGGTCTTGAACTCCTGGGCTCAAGCAATCCTCCTTGGCCTCCCAAAGTGCTGGGATTCCAGGCGTGAAATGCCACACCCAGCCCTTTAAAGTTGTTTTTACCTCATAAAAATGCTTCATAAAAAAGCAATCTGGCCGGGCATGGTGGCTCACACCTATAATCCCAACACTTTGGGAGGTCAACGTAGGTGGATCACTTGAGCCCCGGAGTTCATGATCAGCCTGGGCAACATAGTGAATCCTTGTCTCTACAAAAAATACAAAAGTTAGCCAGGCATGGTGGTGTACACCTATAGTACCAGCTACTCAGGAGGCTGAGGTGGGCGGATAATTTGAACCCAGGAGTTGGAGGGAGCAGTGAGCTGAGATCGTGCCACGATACTCTAGCCTGGGTGACAGAGACAGGTGTCTCAGAAAAAAAAAAGAAAAGGCAATCATATCAGCTTTGCAACCAAATAATAGCAAGAATGCTACAGTGTTCTTTAGTTGTATAAGTTCTATGATTGTTAAGACTATCATAGTTTCAGCTATTTAAAAGCCCAACCGATCGCTTAATTATAACTGACAAAAAAATCTAGTAAAATCATTAAGCTAAATTACTCTTACTAGAATTCTAACTTTCAATTTAAAAACCCTATATTATGTAAGCATTTAATGGTGTAACTGCCTCTTCCTGTGAATTAATTCATATAGTTATGTTTTAGTAAATGCCAACTTTATATTTATAAAAACTTTTTGAATTTCCCTCGTTAAATAACACACTGGGATTTGTTGTATGGCACTGACTAGAGAAAACTACACCTTGAGACTGTCTCTTGGAGGGGTTACTTTCTATTTTGCAGTCTCCAAGACAATCTTCTAAACCTTGTTTTCTTTTTTTTGAGATGGAGTCTTATTCTCTTGCCTAGACTGGAGTCCAGTGGCACTATCTTGGCTCACTGCAACCTCCACCTCCCAGGTTCAAGCAATTCTCCTGCCTCAGCCTCTCGAATAGCTGGGATTACAGGTGCCTACCACCACATCTGGCTAATTTTTGTATTTTTAATAGAGACAAGGTTTCACCATGTTAGCCAGGCTGGCCTCGAACTCCTGACCTCAGGTGATCCACCCGGTTTGGCCTCCCAATGTGCTGGGATTATAGGTGTGAGCCACCGCACCCAGCCTAAACCTATTTTTAAAACATAAGACAGCAGCAGTTACCATTTATTGAGTACCCATTATATTCTAGAAAATGTGCTAGTTTCTATTTAATTTACTAAACTATTTCTTCAAAAGTATGTCATGTTAACATCATTTTAAACATGTGAAATGTGATACTGGAGAGGAGTTAACCAAACTGCCCTAATTCACACACAGCTAGTTAGTGAAGGCCAAAAAGGATGTTCTACATATATTAAAGTTCTAAATCCCATATAGACTTGAAATGTATTATGAGTTCACAGAAGTGGGAACTTAGTGTGGGCTGAAGCAGAAGAGAGAAACTTCAGCAAGGAATAATTGAGCTGAGCTCAATGATGGGTAGGATTTATTTAACTATAGAGGGAATTTGGCATTTCAGGTATAGGAAATAGTTCCCAAGAGGTGAGACATGGAGGTATCTATGGATACAGAAAGTAGACTTAGGCCGGGCATGGTGGCTCAGGCCTATCATCCCAGCACTTTGGGAGGCCAAGACAGGTGGATCACTTGAGGTTGGGGGTTTGAGACTAGCCTGGCCAACATGATGAAACCCTGTCTTTACCAAAAATACAGAAATTAGCCAGGCATGGTGGCAGGCGCCTATAATCCCAGCTACTGGAGAGGCTGAGGCAGAAGAACTGTTTGAATCTGGGAGGCAGAGGTCACAGTGAACTGAGATCCTGCCACTGCACTCCAGCCTGGGTGACAGAGTGAGACTTCATTTCAAAAAAAAAGTACAATGTTTATTCTAAGAAGTAGAAAATAAAGTCAGACATGTTAACAATAATATTTTTATCATTATTATTACAACTACCACTTACTAAACTCTTCACATGTCAAATGTTTAAATTAAGCTTGTTAGTATTATTGCTTTCATCCTTACAGCAGTCCTATTAAGTAGGCATTAACACCATTTTGCAAATGAGAAAACTGAGGGTCAGCAACTTACTGTGACCATCCTAGCCAGTGGGAGAATCCAACCTACGCCTACAGGTCTGTTCCCCAGTCCCAAAGTTAGAGTTCAATCAACATCATTAAGGGAACCTGCTTAAAATATAGGTCTCTCGAATCATTTTAAACAAGAATTATTCAAATATAAGGTGTGCAGTATTATTTCTGACAGCACATTCTGAAGATGCTGCGAGGACTATACTTTGAAATCACTGCAACTGGCAATACTACCTCAAAGTTGTAAGATTGGAAAATATGGATATGATAAAATACTATAGGTCCTTGGGCAAATAATAATGTAGTAATAGCCAATACTTGTATAATGCACTATGCCGAGCACTGTTTTAAGCACTTCATACTGAATCTTCAAAAAACCCTATGAGGGCTAGGCACAGTGGCTCATGCCTGTAATCCCAACACTTTGGGAGGCTGAGACTGGAAGAGCACTTTAGACTGGAAGGGCACACCTGTCATCCTAGCTACTCAGGGAGGCTGACGCAGAAACACTGCTTAAGCCCAGGAGTTAGAGGCTGCCGTGAGCTATGACCACGCCACTGTACTCCAGCCTGGATGACAGAGCAAGACCCTATCTCTAAAACAAAACGAAACAAAACAAAACACTATGAGGTAGATACTATTACTATTCTATTTTTAGAGATGAGGAAACTGAGGCATAGAGAGGATAAGCAACTTGTCTAAGGTCACATAGCTAGTGTGTGGCATTTGAACCCAGTAGTCTCACTCAAGAGTCCATGCCCTTTACTACTAGGAGTGTATGAGAAAAACAATGCTTAGCAGCTGAGACAGGTTACAGGGTGTGAGGCATGGCGGCAGGATATAAACTCTGAGGCTTTTTATTTGTATTGGCTCCAAACTGAATAAAGCAGCTATTAGAATCACAACTTTATTTCTTAATTGGATTAAATGGAGTGGAATCCACTGTATTAAAGACTGTAAAAAATGTTGACCAGGTGTGGTGGCTCACACCTGTAATCCCAGCACTTTGGGAGGCCGAGGTGGGCAGATCATAAGGTCAGGAGTTTGAGATCAGCCTGGACAACAGGGTGAAACCCATCTCTACTAAAAATACAAAAATTAGCTGGGCGTGGTGGTACAAGCCGATAGTCCCACCTCCTCAGGAGGGTGAGGCAGGAGAATTGCTTGAACCCAGGAGGTGGAGGTTGCAGTGAACCGAGATCTCACAAATACACTCTAGCCTGGGTACAAGAGACAGACTATCTTAAAAAAAAAAAAAAAAAATTAATATCATTAACAGAAAAAACAAAAACCTAAAACTTTCAGAGCTGTTTCCAACTCTAAATCCTTCTCCCACTTAGTTGAAATACCATGCATGCCTCGATACTTGCTACATGGATCTACATCAAATACTAAGGATGAGAAAGAAGACCTTCAAAAAAGAAGCCAACCCACTACCAGTAAGTCAGTCATCTAGCCTGAGGGACAGTCCCTCCTACCCCTCCTACGGCTGCCAATTCCTACACGAGAAGTGACTCAGCAACTTCTTTGACAGAATCCTTAAATGATTTAACAAAGGAATTTAGGGCATAATGAATTTTACCTTCATCTGCTGCCTTTTCTGTTTCAGCACCGACCAACAACTTGAAGCCACAGCCTAAACATGTGCAGAGGAGAAAAGAAAGATTTAAATTTACAGCCATATAAACATTTCCATTTTGAGTAGAAATTCAAAGTTTATGGGTCTAAAAAGTTCAATACATTCATTACTAAAAAAAACTAGTCAGGGTCCTCACATTGTTTGAAAATATTAATGAAAAGGTATTTCATTTTTATAAATTTTTAAATCATGAGCAAAGCTGTGTGTTGTAAGGACAAGAAAAAAAGTAAAATAACATTTAAAAAATTAAACACAAAGCCACTAAAGGAAAAAGACTACACTCTGGAACAAAGGAGATTCAATTTTCACAGTTTTAAAGTTCTGTTTTTAAGGGAAAAAAAGTGAAAATATGTGTATATAGAATTCACATACACAAATAAATATTCTCTGTGTAATAATAAAGTAATTTTTTTTCTTCTTTTTTTGAGACAGGTTTCACTCTCATTGCCCAGGCTGAAGTGCAAAGGAGCAATCTCGGCTTACTGCAACCTCCGCCTCCAAGGCTCTAGTCAACCTCCCACCTCAGCCTCCTGAGTAACTGGGACTACAGGCATGCACCACTGTACCTGGCTAATTTTTGTATTTTATTGTAGAGACGAGGTGTCTCCATGTTGCCCAGGCTGATCTCGAACTCCTGAGCTCAAGCAATCCACTCACTTCAGCCTTTCAAAGTGCTGGGATTACAGGTGTGAGCCATTGCACCTGGCCTAAAGTAATTTTTTTCTCAAGAATAGTATTGTTGGATTATTTGTGAATAGCTAACAGTTTGATCCAAATAAAGAACTGAGAAATACAATCATGATGGGACAAAAGCACCCAGTGGATCCTGAAGATATCTGACTCTTGGAGGTGATTCTCGCAAGAAAAAAAAAAAGAAAGAAAAAGAAAAATCTGACCCTCCTCTGGCATGACTCAGCTTTGATCAAGGTCACTTTACCAGATCAGTTACAGAAATGGAGAACATGTACCTTTTATTATTTAAACATATATTATTTTGGAACTTACTGATAGTAAACTTAAAAGAATTTTAAATACATTCATTTCTCCTCAATTAAGTTCCAAAATAATTGTGAAACCACCAAATGGAATCTGTTTTTAAAGGTATCCAAATTGCATCATAAAACATGGTATCCACCCTATTTTGCTTCCAGGTGCATACTTAAAGCCCAACCAAAACCAGCGTCAAACAGATTAGAGAACAAAAAACAACAGAAACTAAAGCGAATTTCATCTGAAGATGTTATACTGTATATGCCTAAGCTGAATATCAAAGGATGAGTTCAGTTTCTGTACATTATTCCACAGACAGATGTATACGTCAATCTTATTAATCTTCCCAGTTTTGACTTTTCTGTTTTTTTTTGGAGATGGAGTTTCACTCTTGTCCAGGTTGGAGTATAGCTGCATGATTTTCACTCACTGAACCTCCGTCTCCTGGGTTCAAGCAATTATCACACCTCAGCCTCCTGAACAGCTGGGATTATAGGTGCCCCCCACCATGCCCAGCTAATTTTTATATCTGTAGAAGAGACAGTTTTCACCATTTGGCCAGGCTGGTCTCAAACTCCTGACCTCAAAATGATCCACCTGCCTTGGCCTCCCAAAGTGTTGGGATTACAGGCATGAGCCACTGTGCATAGCTGACCACTTTTTGATCAAACTTAAAAGGCTGAGAAAGGTAAACCACCACTTACTGTTTCTTTGAAGGATGAGTTTAGCCATCGATTATTTACTACATTCTGTATGGATGTGGGTGGGTTTTCCAAATCTTCAAAGGAATCCATTAATATAAAATCCAGAACAACATCATAAAAATTTAGATTTTTCACCTGCATTAAAAATTATGAGTTGAAACAAAAATTATTATTACATCAAGCTGAAAAAAATCTGAGCCAGGGCTTTATAGTTTTATAATATCAGGGTTTTTTTTTTTTTTTAATTTTAATCAGCTTATTCAAAAATAAAAAATAAAAGAAGAGATAAATATGAAAGCTCACCACCAGAAATTATGATTCACATTATCGCTGCTCCTTCCTAGATCTCAAGTGAAAATCTTTCCTCCTCTCTATTCTAGGAGTCCTTTGTTCATGCTTCTCTATAACATCCAGGATGCTGATTCTACCTTGTTATTTAGTTACTGGTATGTTTGCTGTCTTCCCCACCAGATCATAAACATCTTGCTCTTTCATTCATTTATACATACACACTCTGCATACTACATGTTGTACCAAGTGGTCAGACTTCTAGAGTAAGCAAATTAGATGCCTAGAGTATAGTGGGGAAAACAGCAACAAAATAATCCTGCAAATATCCAATTATGAACTATGAAAAGCACAATAAAGGAAAAAGTATATTGTGCTCTGTCATTTTGACAGAAATGTGGAGAATGAAACAGAGAGGGGAAAGAGTGAATGCAGGGAGGAAAGGAGTGAGCAGAGAATAAGGAAATAGAAAGACTACTGATGTAGCCCAGAGAAAAGACAACAGGTACTTAAGCCAAGAGGGGTTACAGGAAGAGAGGAAAGTTGAAGAAACTGAAAGATATTTAGGAGTTAAAACTGACAAACTTAGAGATGAATATGATAAAGGGGGTGAGGACCAGGGAGAGGTAAAAAATGAGTCTCAGGTTGCTGGCCTGCAGAACTAAATGGATACTGATTCCATCTCCTGAATAAGGGAACACTAGAAAAGGAAAGATTATGTCTTCATGTATTTGTACCCACTGTTTTCTCTGCCTAGAATGCCTTTCAGCTCCTTGTAAACTCTTTTTTTTTTCTTCTGAGACAGAGTCTTGCTCTGTAGCCCAGGTTGGAGTGCATTGGCATGATCTTGGCTCACTGTAGGCTCTGCCTCCCAGGTTCAAGTGATTCTCATGCCTCAGCCTCCTGAGTAGCTGAGATTACAGACATTTACCACCATACTTGACTAATTTTTGTATTTTTAGTAGAGACAGGGTTTCACCATGTTGGCCGGGCTGATCTTCAACTCCCAACCTCAAGTGACCTGCCCACCTCAGCTTCCCAAAGTGCTGGAATTACTGGTGTGAGCCACAGCACCTGGTGCTAAATTCTTTTTTTCTTTTTATTTTATTTTTTGAGACAGTTTCGCATTGTTACCCAGACTGGAGTGCAATGGCATGATCTTGGCTCACTGCAACCTCTGCCTTCTGGGTTCAAGCAATTCTCCTGCCTCAGCCTCCCGAGTAGCTGGGACTACAGGCACGCACCACCACACCCAGCTGATTTTTGTATTTTGAGTAGAGACGGGTTTCACCTCACTGACCAGGATGATCTTGATCTCTTGACCTCGTGATCCACCCGCCTCGGCCTCCCAAAGTGTTGGGACTATAGGCGTAAGCCACCGCGCCCGGCCTTTTTTTATTTGAGACAGAGTCTCACTCTGTCACCCAGGCTGGAGTGCAGTGATGCAATCTCAGCTCACTGCAACCTCCTCCTTTCCTGTTCAAATGATTCTTCTGCCTCCTTCTGAGCAGCTGGGATTATAAGCACATGCTACCATCTCTGGCAAATTTTTGTATTTTTAGTAGAAACGGGATTTCACCATGTTGGTCAGGCTGGTCTCAAACTCCTGACCTTGTGATTCGCCTACCTTGGCCTCCCAAAGTGCTGGGATTACAGGTGTGAGCCACTGCGCCAGGCTAATATCTATCCATCCATCCATCCATCCATCCATCCATCCATCCATCCATCTTTTTTGTTTTTTGAGACAAAGAGTCTCATTCTGTCACCCAGACTGGAGTACAGTGGTATGATCTCGGCTCACTGCAACCTTCAAGTGATTCTCATGCCTTAGCCTCTCGAGTAGTTGGGATTACAGGTGTGAACCATTATACCTGACTAATATTTGTATTTTTAGTAGAGACAGGGTTTTGCCATGTTGGCCAGGTTGGTCTTGAACTCCTGACCTCAGGTGATCCACCCAACTTGGCCTCCAAAAGTGCTGGGATTACAGGCATTAACCACCACTCCCGGTCCTATATTTATTTCTATATCTACAGCTACATATATATATTATAAACTGTGAACTCGCACTGATAGCTCTAATTCCAGTCCCAGCTTTTTATACCTTCCTTCTCTGACAGGGAAAATCTGGCTCTGATTTTTCTCAGTATACTTATTTGTTCAGTCCTGTGTATACGGCCAATTCCCCAGCCCTACTGAGCTGCTGCTGTTGTACTGCCCAAAACTGTCCTTGCATAGGCCACCATTCCTGCCCTGCTAGGGCCCTGCCAATTGACTTTTGTAGAGAAGGAAGGGAGATGACAAGGGAAGGAGGGCAGGAGGGAAGGAAGCAAGGAGCCAGCAACAGCAAAAAAGGCTTTTAAGAAAACAATCTACAACTATTGCCCCAATGTGTAAGGAGTGTGGTTTATGACTGTCAAAAAAAGATGTCCCACAGCCACATAATTGGTTTTAGTTTAACAAGGACTAGGAAACAGTAGTCTCAACTCATATAAAATTGCATGGAAATAAGTAACAAAAATAAATATCACAAAAAAATTTGAGCTTACCCCTCTAGCAGCAAGTTCCATTTCAGTACTACCCCAATGATCGGTCTGCTCTAAAAAATAGATCATTTCATCAAAAACATCTTCAAACTTCTTGGGATTCTGCAGAAGAAACCACATTTTGACCCTTAACTTTATAACACTCTCCAAAGTAAGTTACTCTTCAAGTAAGTCTGATGGATCTTAATTCTACTAGGTAACTGGACTAAAATTCATTTTAAAGGTATGCCAAACTTATCTGGTTTACTACTTTACTGTTCCAACATTTTACAGAAGCCAAGATGAAGAATGTTAGTAAAATGTCATAAGCAAACTCTTTATTACTCAAATATGTATGCCTATTTTGGTTAGTTCTTAAAATGAAAACTTGGTTATAGCAGACATTATGTGAGGCTTTTGTTCCAGTTCTGCTTCTTTTGGAAAAAATTACTGAGTTATCCGTCATGAGAAGGCCAAGAAAGCAACATAAGACTTACATTGGGAATCACCCGTATTAATAGTTAGTGTCACCTCACCTATACTTAGCACTTTACGTTTACTTAACACTTTATTCTTTTTGTTTGTTTGTTTGTTTTTTGAGATGGAGTTTCGCTCTTGTTATCCAGGCTGGAGTGCAATGGCGCGATCTCGGTTCACTGCAACCTCCACCTCCTGGGTTCAAGCAATTCTCCTGCCTCAGCCTCCTGAGTAGCTGGGATTACAGGCATGCACCACCATGCCCAGCTAATTTTTTGTATTTTTAGTAGAGACAGGGTTTCACCATGTTGACCAGGATGGTCTCAATCTCTTGACCTCGTGATCCACCCGCCTCGGCCTCCCAAAGTGCTGCGATTACAGGCTTGAGCCACCATGCCCAACCAACACTTTATTCTTTAAGTTGCTTTCCCATTTATCATTTATTTAATCATCCTAAAACCCCTCTGAAATGAGGTAATATAAATATAATTCTATTATATAAATGAGAGAATTAAAGTTCAAAGAGATTGAGTCTGTAAATTAGGTGTGCAAATGGCTCAAGAAAGGCCTGTTTTGTTTTCTCATCACCTGGACAAACCCTGCATAAAGAAAGGTGGATCCTTACAGTCGGAATGAAGGTCTTGTCATTGCTTCTGCCTCATTCAACTCCATGAGGATGAGGCAGCTCAATTTGTACTCCAGATTTCTGAGACCTACGCTATTTCTTGTGACCCTCTTCCTGAACAGGACTGAGGGAATAAAAGAGGAGGCATTAGTAATAATAATAGTGATGGTTACAGCAGCAGAGCTAATGATAATTCTCACCATGACATTCACAGAATTTATGGAAAATTGGAAATATTTATGAGAAACAACTTGGTTGAAATGGTGTGGACTTCGGAGATAGTTCAACCCAAGTATAACTCAATGCCTTTTGGGTTATTTATTTTTAAAATGTGAACCTTTGCCAACTATCTACAAAAACTTTTTCTTCTGTCAAAAATTTAATGTCTTAATCTTCAGTTCAAATAGCAAAAACAACTTTTGTAAATGGTAAAAAACCTGCCAACAGAACAAGTTTACCTTTCGTGCTTTCACAATTAAAGCTGATAAAATTTTCCTTCCACTCTCAGCGAGGAATATCCTGTTGGCTGATTCTGAAAGAATTACCTGAAAAAATGTTCATCCCCAAAGAAAAAAGAGATCTATAATGAATGAGAATGGACATTCAACTTTCCAGCAGAAATAATTCTAATACAGTTAATGCATTGCATGTGGTGCTATTTCAACAGGCAGCTCACAGAGAAAGTCCTAATTTACTAAAATAAAAAGAACTCTCAAAACCTATACTTAAAAAAAGATTAAAGGGAGTTAAATTTGAATTTAATTCTGTTAACATAATATTATTACAAAGTCTCAAAATTTCCTATAGCCCCCAAACATAATAAAACAAATATAATTTTATTTTCTTTTTAGAAAATCAATTTTATAATTTATTCAAATTAAATCTCAAATACACCTTAATTAATAAGAGAGTTTTTATTTTAAGCAGCTATTTTTACATTCGTGAAGCATCAAAATTTCCTGTTTTGACAAAGTGTGGTGGGCCTGGGAAGCCGTGGGAGAGGATAACGAAATACAGAAACAAATGAAGGCAAGTGGTGGGGAGGAAAAATAAGTTTAGAAGACTTTATATTTGTCATTAGGAATAGGGATCATCAAGAGCACAGAGCTGTCCTGTTTACTTGCACTGGACTCTATAGCATGAGGGTGAGGATGAGTGGCTGGGTGAAGTCACTTAATGTTAAAAAAAAAATACCTGAAAAGCCTGTCGAATACAGTGAAGTTTGGCAAGAAAATCACTGTCTCCGAGGCACTCCAACATTTCAGTTCTATGTAATAAACAGGGGAGACAACTGTTAAACTGCATTCAAGATCAAGCCTACTATAAATTTGGATTCAAACAAGGTTTAACCTCAGGACCTTAATATAAAACATGTTTTTTAAATACTGACAGAACATGTAAAAAATAATTTTTTCTTTACTTGGACCTAAAAGCATATTTTCCCCTACTCTCATAAACATTTTTTATAAATACCACACAAACACATTAATATCCTTCATAAACATAAACAAAACTGAAATGGTACCTCAGTACTCTGGAGTAAATTTTTCCTTCTTCAACTAAATGCATGGCTTCCTCGTAAAACGGGCAGTGACACAGGGACTCCAAGCTGTAGGTATGCCGTACTTCTCTGTGTTCTGCAAGCTAACAGCAGAACACAGTGATTAGAACAGAATACAGGCTAGGTGCAGTGGCTCATGCCTGGTAATCTCAACACTGTGGGAGGATCATCTGAATCCAGGAGTTTGAAACCAGCCTGGGTAACACAGTGAGACCCAGTCTCTACAAAAACCTAAGAAAATTAGTCAGGTATAGAGGCATGCACCTGTGGTCCTAGCTACCCAGGAGGTTGAGGTGGGAGGATCACTTGAGCATAGGAAGTCAAAGTTGCAGGGAGCTGTGACTGTATCATTGCACCCCAGCCTAGTTGGCAGTCACACTCTGTCTCAAAAAAAGAAAAAAAAGGAACGATCCAAGATGGCCAATCGCTAACATCCCGGGATTGCAGCTCTCAGGGAAGGCGCGGAGAACTAGAGGACGCCACACTTTCAGACAAATTCTGGTCGCTCATGGAGCAGAAGATCCCCCAGTGGAGGAAACACACGGGTGGCCAGTGCGACTCTCGTGGCCGGCGCAGCGGTTCCACCGGCACCTCGGCGCCGCAGCTCTCTGAGCAGAGTAAACAGGTTCGGAGGACCCGCAGGGGTCCCCAGCAGGACACCAGAGCCCGGCGCAGCGGCTGCGACGGCGCTTTGGCGCAGGGGCTGCGACGGCGCTTTGGCGCAGCAGCGCTCGGCGCAGAGTAAACGGGACCGGTTCCCCTTCTGACCGAGGTTTGGAGCCCGGGGAAGGCAGAGTCGCCTACTATGGACACAAGAAGGAAGCCAGACAGGAGAATCCTGGGCAGAAAAGCACCATCAGTTTTAACGCCGCTGCTCTGGCCCTGGGAACTAACAACCTGGACATCCACTCAAGAGACCTAATCTGAAAGTTGGTAATTTCAATGACTACAGGAGGATAAATTTACAATGACGGGAAGAAACCAGCGTAAAAAAGCTGAGAATACTCAAAGTCAGAACGCCTCTCCCTCTAAAGATGATCACAGTTCCACATCAACAATGGAACAAGGCTTGATGGAGAACGAGCGCATCCTGATGACAGAATCACTCTTCAAGGAATGGATAATAACAAACTTCGGTGAGTTAAAAGAACATGTTGTAGCCCAACGTAAAGAAACTAGGAACTTTGAAAAAAGGTTTGATAAAATCCTATTGAGAATAGACAACTTAGAGAGGAGTATGAGTGAATTAATGGAACTGAAGAATACAATACAGGAACTCCGAGAAGTATGCACAGGTTTAAACACTCGAATTGTTCAAGCAGAAGAAGGGATATCAGAGGTCAAAGTCCAACTTAATGAAATAAAACGTGAAGAAAAGATTAGAGAAAAAAGGATAAAAAGGAATGAGCAAAGTCTCCAAGAAATGTGGGACTATGTGAAAAGACCAAATTTACGTTTGATAGGTGTACCTGAATGTGCCGGAGAGAATGAATCCAAGCTGGAAAATACCCTTCAGGATATTATTCAGGAAAATTTTCCTAAACTAGCAAAGCAGGTCAACATTCAACCCCAGGTAATACAGAGAACACCACAAAGATATTCCTCAAGAAGAGCAACCCCAAGGCACATAATCGTTAGATTCACCAGGGTTGAAACGAAGGAGAAAATACTAAGGGCAGCCAGAGAGAGAGGTCAGTTTACCCACAAAGGCAAGCCTATCAGACTTACAGCAGATCTCTCAGCAGAAACTCTACAAGCCAGAAGAGAGTGGGGGCCAATATTCAACATCCTCAAAGAACAGAACCTTCAGCCCAGAATTTCATATCCAGCCAAACTAAGCTTCACAACTGAAGGAAAAATAAAATCTTTTATGAACAAGCAAGAACTCAGAGATTTTATTACCACCAGGCCTGCTTTACAAGAGCTTCTGAAAGAAGCATTACACACAGAAAGAAACAACCAGTATTAGCCTTTCTAAAAATACACCAAAAAGTAAAGAGCACCAACATAAAGAATTTACACCAACGAATGGATAAAACAGCCAGTCAACATCACATGGCAGTAACCCTAAATTTAAATTGACTAAATCCCCCAATCAAAAGACACAGCCAAAACCCAATGGCATGTTACATCCAGACCTGTTTCACATGCAAGGATACACAAAGACTCAAAGGGATGGAGAAAGATTTACCAACCAAATGGAGAGCAAAAATAAATAATAAATAAATAAAAAGCAGGAGTTGCAATTCTCATATCGGATAAAATAGATTTTAAAGCAACAAAGATATAGTGGTAAAAGGATCAATGCAACAACAAGAGCTAACGATCCTAACACCCAGATACGAGACTTAGATTCAATGAGACAGAAAATTAATAAGGATATCAAGGACTCGAACTCAGATCCGGAACAAGTAAACTTAATAAATATTTATAGAGCTCTCCACTTCAAATACACAAAATATACATTCTTGTCAATACCACATCACACCTACCCATAAGCTTAAATGAAACATTGATTGGCCGTCATTAATACCCAATTTTTTTCAAAATAAAGCAATATTTCCATTTACTCTCCCTCTTTCTCTTCCTCTTTCTTCCTCTCCTTTACTTACTATTATTATTTTTTTTTCTTTCCTTCTCTCAAAAAAAAAAGAAATCAACTTGTAAACCTCTAGATCCAGGTCGGCAATGTCTCTCTCATTGCTTGATTTCCTTCCTTCCCCTTCCCTCCCTCCCTCCCTCCCTCCCCGCTTCCTCCCTCCCTCCCTCCCTCCCTCCCTCCCTTCCTTCCTTCCTTCCTTCCTTCATCCCTTCCTTCCTCCCTACCGTCCTTCTTCCCTCCCTTCCTGCCTTCCTCCCCCCCCAAAAAAAAAAAACCAAAAAGCAGAATACACTGATAGCAGAAAACCTATACAAGAAAGAAAATAGGATTTTGCTAACATCAAAATACACTAAATTTGATTAAACCATAAAAACCATTCAATAGGATTTTACAGCTAATAAAATCTGAATTCATTTTGTTTCAAAATTCAGTTGTAAAAAGAGTGGAACTTTCTTTTTTCCTTTTCCTTGATGAGATTGGGCACATTCAGGGAGGTAAAAGAGTAAAACTTTTAACAAGCTTAGTTCATTCTGAATCCAATTACTTAAATCCATAGAACGTACAGAAAAGAAATGCTATAACTTTATTTATTTATTTATTTTTGAGACAGGGTCTCATTCTGTTGCCCAGGCTAGAGCACAGTGGTGTGATCATGACTCACTGCAGCCTCCACCTCCCAGGTTCAAGCAATTCTCCTGCCTCGGCCTCCCTAGTACCTGGGATTATAGGCACGTGCCACCACACTCAGCTAATTTTTATATTTTTAGTAGAGATGGAGTTTTGCCATGTTGGTCAGGCTGGTCTTGAATTGGCCTCAAGCGATTCACCTGCCTCAGCCTCCCAAAGTGCTAGGATTGCAGGTGTGAGCCACCGTGTCCAGCCAGCAATATTATATCTTATAGTTTACCAATAAGAACAACCAAAGAAGCATGTTTTAAAAAGAGGAGGAGAATTTTATCATCCAAAGAATACTTAAAAGTATTATAACCTATGATTATAATGAAGCAAAACTTAGTACAAAAACAACAAAACAAGCTCAATGTTGCTATTTTAAGAAATATTTCCTTGTATGTGGCTTTGATTAACTTTTGTATAACAAAGATAGTCATGCTTTTGGTTAGCATAACAACTCTACAAATGAAATTCCAATCTTCTGACAGTTCATTAAAAAACAATTGCAAACAGTATAGAGTAGCCAGCAAAGCAAAAAGACAAAACAAAACCCAGAAAACTTCTAGAGTGTTTTGTTTGGAAGATACAGAATCTCATTCTGTCACCCAGGCTGTAGTGCAGTGGCACTATCATAGCTCTGTAGCCTCAAACTCCTGGGCTAAAGTGCTCCTCCTGCCTCGGCCTCCCGAGTAGCTGGGACTACAGGTATGCGACACCACATCCCACTAATTTAAAAAAATGCGTAAGGGCAAGGTTCGGGTCCGGTAGCTCATGCTCATAATCCTAGCACTCTGGGAGGCTGAGGTGGGCAGATTACCTGAGGTTATGAGTTCAAGACAGCCTGGGCAACAATTGTTAAACTACATTCAAGCTACTCTGTCTTTAAATAAATAAATAACAAAGCAAAAACAAAACAAAGGACATATGCAACAAAGAGTACAATGAATGTAACAGTACCTCACATTTCAGTACTAAAAACTGAAATTATAGCAAGTACTCTCTCAGACCAGTGGAATAAAACTGGAAATTAACTCCCAAAGGGACCTTCAAAACCAGGCAGATACACAGAAATTAAATAACCTGCTCCTGAATGAGCATTGGGTCAAAAACAAAATCAAGATGGAAATTTAAAAATTCTTCAAATTGAATGACAAAAATGACACAACCTATCAAAACATCTGGGACACAGCAAAGGTGCTGCTAAGAGGAAAGTTCATAGCCCTAAACGCCTACATCAAAAAGTCTGAAACAGCACAAACAATCTAAGGTCATACCTCAAGGAACTAGAGAAACAAGAGCAAACCCAAACCCAGAAGAAGAAAGAAAATAACCAAGATCAGAGTAGAACTAAATGAAATTGAAACAAACAAACAAAAAAATACAAAAGATAAATGAAACAAAAAGCTGGCTCTTTGAAAAGACAAATAAAACTGATAGACCTTTAGCAAGATTAACCAAGAAAAGAGGAGAGAAAAATCCCAATAACCTCACTAAGGAAAGAAAGAGGAGCTACTAAAACTGACAGCATTGAAATACAAAAGAGCAAGGTTACCATGAACACCTTTACCCACGTGAACTAGAAAACCTAGAAGAGATGCATACATTCCTGGAAATATACATTCTTCTTAGCTTAAATCAGGAAGAATTAGATACCCTGATCAGACCAATAACAAACAGCAAGACTGAAAGGGTAATTTAAAAATTACCAACAAGGCTGGGCCCAGTGGCTCAGGCCTGTAATCCCAACACTTTGGGAGGCCGAGGCAGGCAAATCATGAGGTCAGGAGTTCGATACCAGCCTGGCCAACA